ACCTCTGTAGATATTATCTTTTTGATATGCATTGTTGAAGATAAGCTTTTTGTATACATTCTGATATTGGAATTTTATTGTATACAATTTTAATTTCTTGTTTTTTCCCAGCTTTGTATGTTTCTTTGTACCACAATTAATATCATTGTATATTATTCTAGACATATATGTATGTGGTGTTACATAGTTGAACTCCAACCAGTTCATCCCAAGGATAACATTGATTTAGTGTAAGGGTATACACACCAAATCCATCATAAAACTCTTGCCATAGATAATCAAGGGACATTTCTAACAAACATAAGGAGTAGTAATATAACCACTAGCAGAAGTATCTATTATCATACTACCATTTATATCAAACAATTTTAATTCCAACTTAATAGTACGTTCAAACGAAATAAATGAATAAGTAGCATCAATATCAATAATAACAACCAATTCAACATCATTAATAAAGCAAGTACCTTGAATCAAGTTATCCTTCTTAAATTCCTCTAACTCACTCAGCGCGAACACTCTATCATTGGTCTGGGCAGTAGCATCCTTCCTTGGTTTCTGAAACGGGATTCTGATATTGGCCTTGCTCTCTATAATTGAAACAAGTTGGACCATTATTATTGCACTCAGGAGCATAATGGCCCATCTTACCATACTTGTGGCACCTTAGTATCTTATTCTCACACTCATTAGACCAGTGATCTTGTTCACCACACCTATAGCACTTGACAGAAGCAGGAGCTCCTCCCTCACTTGTCTTATTCCCATCATAAGCATTTTGTTTCCTTTTATCAGTTGGAACATCATAAGACTTCTTACGGTCTTGATACAACTTCCCTCTTTTCTCATTCAAGCTCTTGTAGTAAGCTGAATGAGCTTTGTTGTCTTCTTCATAGATCTTACAGTTGTCCACCAACTCTAAAAACACATGGATCTGTTGATGTCCTATCGCCCGCTTGATTTCTGGATGCAAACCATTCTAAAACTTAATACACCTCAAGAATTCAACAGTTGCTTCACTGTAATGTGGATAATACTTCACCAATTCCACAAACTTCGAAGCATACTCAGACACAATCAAATTCCCTTTTTTCCTCTGTGTCTTAGTTCTACCTCTGTCTTTTTCTCCCAAAACTATCATATACAATGAGCGCTTCCAAAATCCCAAATATCTTTTGTCTCACTTAACCCTTGAACCATTAATTGGTTTTCCTATCTTACCCTCACTTACTCCACCTTATTACTACTTTTCCCTCACGGTCTCTACCTAACAATATTATTCTATTTAACTAATTAAAATAATTCTAAATAATTATTCCAATTATTCTAAAATACTCATAATTCCTCTTAATTCCAAATAATTCCTACAAACACATTTGAACATCACATAAGCATCATAATCATCAAAACATCACATATCATCACATCAAACGTCGTATTAACCATCACATTCATCTCATCATCATAAATCATCACAAGGACTCACATACAAATACCAAAATCTCATATATATATATATATATATATATATATATATATATATATATATATATATATATATATATATATATATATATATATATATATATATATATATATATATATATATATATATATATATATATATATATATATATATATATATATATATCAAATACTTTGCAGTGACTCATATATTCATGCTAAATTAATTAAATAAATAATTAATCTAGAATCCGGGGCGTTACACCCAACATGTTCATCGATTCCAATCGCTTCTACCAAGAGGTCATAACGATTTTATGGAATGAAACTACCAACTTTGACTTGTTCAACTAGTACATCCTATAACACATTGAATTAACTAAAATAAGTAATATTGAAAAAAGTATTTCCTTACCATCTTTTCAGCCACTATGCGTGTATCCTCTAATGTGAACGAGCTATCTGGTCTTTGACGCGCTCACTTCCATTTATCATGTCATGAGGATTGATATAGACCGTGATCAAGGCTTTTAGAAGGATCTCCCAGATCTAGTTTCCTTTGTTTTATTTTTGCATTAATAATTTTTTGTTCAAGTTTATCATATCCTTCACGAGACAATATATGTGGATATATATTTCTATCTTTATTCTCCTTTATTTGTTTTTACTCTTATCCAAGAATTCAGGAGTGGTGTGAGACTTTACAAAATATTTCTTTTTCAGTATACTATCCTCTGGAACAATAAACACTTCCTACATTATTTATATAATAGAGTTGATGGTAAAATTAAACTAAAAAAAATAAATGGTCATATATACTTTTAAAATAAATCAAAAGATTCATAATAAATACCATAATATCTGTCCATATGCTATCTTTCAAATCACCACCAACCTCGTGCCAATTATCTATCAAAATACTCATTTTTCTTCTACGTTGTAATGTCATGCAGCCTTACAATCATAAGCATTTTCACCATATGCCTTTCCAGTTCTTAGATCAAAATAAACCAGGGAGCGAACACCATTTTCATTAGCTTTTTAAACCTTAGTACACATCGTGGCACCTCTAGTTTTTCTTATAATTTTTTTATTAACAGAGGTTGCAGTAGATATCGTATGAGAGGTACTTGTCGAATCACCCGTATTTGTGTAAATTAAGAAAAATCCAAAATTGACATTAAAGCATCATCACACAACACTTTATCCTAACTATATATATATATATATATATATATATATATATATATATATATATATATATATATATATATATATATATATATATATATATATATATATATATATATATATATATATATATATATATATATATATATATATATATATATATATATATATATATATATATATATATATATATATATATATATATATATATATATATATATATATATATATATATATATATATATATATATATATATATACCAAAAAAAGGAAAAAGTAAAGTGATGACAAGAGATATCTTGTTTTTCTTAGTTCTTTTTCTTCCAAACATTCATCCATTCAAATAAAACATATTACATTAAGGTGGTGGATAACCTATTGCTTCTACTGACTGTTAAACTACTCATTTTATCCATGAGATTTACTTTTCTTCAATATACATGAACATCATAAATTCAATTGTGTTTGCTTATGGAATGAATGACAACATTTCATTCACAAGTTTGCTTAAACAAAAGAAAAGTTTAAATGTCATACTCATATATCGAATCATGATAACTAGAATCATACACAATAAATTATGATGAAACATATATGGAAGAGTTAAAGTTGAAACATTTGAGTGATATTATATTTCTAACACATTGTCAAACAACATTTTAGTGGTAACAACATTTCTAACAACATCTCGAACAACATTCCAGTGATATTACCATTCCTATGAACATTTCTATGAGTATTTCAATGGTGAGTTACGTACTTCGAACGTGATGACCAAGCTTGAATGAGTTTTAAAAAGAATTGATGTTTGAGTTGATGTTAAAAGAATTGACGTTAAAAAGAGATGATGTTGGAAGAGTTTTGATGAAAATTGCCTAGAATTTTTCTGAAGAGAATGATGAAGATTTGATGAAGTTAGAGTTTGTTGATAGATAAATGAATAGTTAGAGTCTAGTTCTTTGAAGTATTCATGCAAAAGAACAAACATGTCAGTTTTTAAGAAAAATTGAGGAAATATATCAATTAAAAACTTTAAAAAATAGAGAAGTCCCATATATCGCCATATTAATATAGGAATTCATTTAAAATGTTATTCCTCGGTTGGTCAATATAACCGAGAATAATACAAATAAAAAAAAAAGAAACAGAAAAGCGTCATGTGACCTTAAATGAATTAAAAATAAAAATAAAATATAAAATGCGATAATTAGGATTCAAAGCGAGCTTTATTGTAGTTTTAATTCCTCGGTTTTGATAATAATCGAGGATGTATGTTGTATATATTTTATAAAAAAAAAATAATGACGGTGTCAGGACATATACATTGGTTATTGGTGGAGCAAGATAAATTTTTTTATAAAATATATTATTTATAATAGTATTGAAGTAATAATGAGTTTAAGATAAAATGATTAATGTTTAGATATTTTTGTAAATTTAATTTGAAAAATAAACTTGAGTATGAAATTCATTTTTAAAATCTTCATAGTAACTTTTAGCACTCCAAAATTGAATCCAAATACTGCATAAAATGAAGCATGATTATGAACTAAGTAATAAACAATATTATCTATACTGAATAACTGATAGATTGAATTAAATTATTCTCTTCGAAGAGTATGATTTGAGTGTATTAATGAACCTTCCTTATATTTGCTTAGATAAGGTCTTAAAGAGCTCTTACATATGAGATTTTAGAATTGGCTTTGTATGGAGATATAAGTACCACCTATATATGTTTGTATAGCAATGACAGTTCTCCAAGTAATTTGGTTGTATTGTAGCATTTTTTCCGAGTATTTCTTTTGGATCTTGATTTGCTTAACATTGAGGGTTATAATATCTCTTATACATTGTCTTCAATATTTATTTGTTTTCTAGGAAAGAAATTGCGATTATATATTAAATTTTTCTAGTAAATCATATCATGTTGAGTTGTATAATATGACAATATAAATTATTAAAATTAAAAAATAAAAGCGTATATAAAAAAGTGCTGTCTAAAAAATACTCCTAAAGGAGTATATAAAAAAGTGTTGTCTATTCTAAAAGCGCTGTCTAAAGTAGGCATAAGACAGCGCTTTTACATTCTAAAAAAGAGCTGTCTTTTCTTTTAGCAGCACTGTTTTAAGCAGCACTTTAAAGCGCTGTTAAAAACTTAAAAAAACACTGTCTTTTCTCTTTTTTGTAGTAGTGTAACTAGACATGAAACCGGACACTTTTATATATTAAAATACAATATTAAAAGTGATACACTCCTATTAAAGTCTAAGCATATGTAGTAAAATAGAGTGCATGCTTTTATTATACATAATTCATGAAATGCAATACACACATCCATACATTTAGCTTTTGTGGACGGTCCTAAGGCCCTCCAAATTTTCATTTTCTACTTCTTTTCCTTCAAATCCATTGGTTTCTTTGGTTTCTTTTCCTATCAAACTTACTTCATTTCTTCCCTTTTCTTGTCCTCCAAGTTCAATGTTTTCACCTCCATCTTGAACTCCTCCAATATTTATCGAACCTTTAATACCGCCGCTTTCAATTGAACCTCCCCATCCACCTCCATTTATCCAAAACTGCAAATCTTCACTAGAATGTCTTTTTTGCAGCTTTCCACCATGTCTACCTTCTCTTAAGCGTCTATCATGATTTACCCCAAGTTTTATTTTGGAATTTTCAAATGCACCAGCTGCGAATAAAATAAAACACAATTATTAAAATATAACAAAAATAAAACAAAGTTGTGCAAAAAATTAATATTTATATACGTTGTTTCTCATCCTCTTTGGATGACTCAATTGCCACAACAGAGATAAAAATTAGTGCACAAAGAAAGAAAGCAAAAACAAAAGACTTTGTCTTCATCTTTGATCTTCTACAAGTTTAGTTGATGTTAAATGTAAATGCAATTAACAACTATTTATAGATCATGAGACTCGTTAAGTTTAAGATGCACAAAAAGACCATGATTACTTAATGTATTGTGTTGTAAAAATTTTGGCTCATCGAGAAAATAATTGAGCATGAAAAACTTTTGAGAGGTAAATTGAGACATGCTTGTTAAATCGGCTCATCGAGGTAAGAAAAAAATTATATAACTTGGAAGGTGCTTGTAGTTTTTCACAAGCCACTTTTGTTTTAATGTTTTTAAAAAATCTGTAAAATTTTAAAACATGCATGTTGGGTTTTAATTAATTTTAGGTTTTATAATAATTATAGTTGTGTTATCTCTTTCATTTAAATAAAATTCAAATTAAAAAAATAAATAAATGTTTTTAATTCCTAATATTATTAGTTAATAGATACAATGTTCTTTTAAACTTGTAACATATTACTTCTTGATAAATAAATTTTTATCAACTTGTCCTCTTTGAAATTTGTTTTCAAAAAATCATTTGTTTAGACTATCTGTGATACGGTGAGATAAATGACTTGGGTGTTTGCGTTTGTGTTCGTAAATGTTGCGGTTTAACAAGAGTCGACACCGACTTTTCTTTTATCTAATAAGGAAAGGTGAAAAAGTACAGGAAAGACCTTTCGAGATGTTTTCTTGAGTTCGGGGGATAGATTATGAAAAGGGAAGATATTAGCATCTTCTTCATCCATGGTTTTCCATGGGCTCTTAGTTACTTGCTAGATCACTTGCATTTTGTTTTGAAAATTGTGTTTTGTGTGGTTTTGAAAGTATTTTGAAAAGGTGTCATCGTTTAGGAGAACTTTGCAATGATTCCCGTTCATAAGAATGTATGCAAAGTGTTGAGCTTTTGAAAATATTTCAAGGTTTGGAAGATGTTTTGAAGTTTGTTTTGAAAGTGTATGTGATTGTTTTTGAAAATAGCAAGGATGTTTATTTTGAAATTGAGTAAGTAACTAAAAGTTATCTACCTACTCAAAAGGTCTTAGATATGTTTTTCCTCCTCCTTTAGGTGTTGCTACCTTACCATTGATTTGGCAAGAAGCCCCATCGTTGGATGTGAAGGGACGGGCATTGGGTCATCGTATGACCATGATAGCAATGTTGTGAGATGACTTAGCACTTTTTCTGTAGGGACTAAGATCATTTTGAAATGCAACTTTTATAGCCTCATCGAGGGACTATGATCTTTTCTCGATTCGTTTGTGCTAAGACATCCCACATGCATAACATGGCCATTTTTGTAAGGCAACAAGTGGAATTACCCTAAGGGTGTAAGTGTGCGGGTGTATTTGATTGCATGCATAATTTGTCTTGATTAGGGTGATCTATTGGTCAATTTTCATATCTTGTCATGCACACCCTAATTATTAGCATATTGAAAGCAATAACAGTGCAGAAATGTAAAGTCCTACGCTATAACAATTTTGGGGAATGAGGGTACATTTTTGTGAATGGGGGTTGCAAGTTAAAATTCTAGATTACAATTACAAACATATTGAAATAGATAAGAATGTACATGAAATATTTGTTAAAAAAAAGAAAATAACTTTTGTTTAAGAAAATATTTTTTGTCTTTTTATATTAAAAGAAAATATATCATGTAAATGTAAAATATTTTGGATGTTTTTTTGATTAAAAATAAAATATAATATGATGGCAAAATAAAATAAAATAAAAAATCAAGGAAACATAATCAGCGCAAAGTGCTAAAAATAGAAGAGGTCAGAAGTTCTGACTCTAACTTAGCTGCACAAACAGAAACAGGTTAGCAAAAATATGGGAGTTCAGAAGTTCTGGATCTTCTGAGAACTCATAAGTTCTTCAGAAGTTCTGACGCAACTGTCAGAACTTTGCCTCTCTCCATGCCAGTCAGAACATCTGCAGCTTGGTCATTTACAGAACAGAAGTTGCATGTATAACAGTTATGATAAATTTCATGAAATATCAGAAACACGAGTCAGAAGCAACATGTATTTGCTAATTCTAATTCTGAGTCCTAATTTCTTTATGAAACTATGAACTGGGATTTCTTTTACTTAGGCAAGCAAATGCAGGAATTCTCAGAATATGTACATCATCAGGATCATAATATCTACATTGTACTAAATATGCAAGATCTAACAATGCTTAATCAGTTAGGATGAGGGTCAGCAGAAAACTTACCTTGCAGTTGGAAAGAATTCTGTGAACTGGAGATTGGTCTTGAATTCTGGTGATGTTTTGAGCAACTTCTTCACGTAATCAGCAGGATGGAAGTTTGCAACTCCTGAAGCAGCCAATGAGTGATATTCTGACTCCTTTGTGGTGAAAGTGAATGGAGAGTCTATGGCAATAGGAATACATAAGTTAAGGTAGGTTCTAATGTATGAATCAGCAGTTACGTGGATGACTTTAGTCAAGAACACTTGAGGAAAACAATGGAGTTTGAATGTAAGGAATTAATGCTAAGATTTTGGTATTTTGTGTTTATAGTTTCCTGGGTTCTTGGAATTTTTGCAGTGGTTCAAAGCCTTCTTTCTCAATTCTCTCGTCTCTTTCACAAATTTTTCTGGGGGAGAAAGGGGAGGGGTTTCTCAGTGTGCAAATGGTATTCTATTTATAGGCAAAGTTTTTCAGTTGGGGCGGTCAAGTGGCACCAACATCATATGCTAGATGCTGACTTACTCTTGAAGTAAGCTTAACAAGTGAGGGTTCAATGAATTCAAGTTGGATGGTTAACAACGCCTCAGTTGGATTTGGCAGCGTGAATTAAGGAAAAGTAGAAACAGTGCATGGGTCTAGCATACTTTTACACAGAAGTTTGTCTTCCCAGTAGGGGTACACGTGGAGAAAATCCCTTAAATACAAACTCAGAGGCGATTGTGAGCATTAAATGAGTTCCCATGTGAAACTCTGGATCCTTGCTTGACTCTGGATTAGAAGTTCTGCTTCAGCGTAGCATCTCATCTTCTGATCCTCTTATCTTCTAACTTCAGCATGTTCTGAGGGATCCTTCAGAACTTCCAGTATACTTACAGCATGCTTTGTTATCTTCTTTGACTTAACCTCTGCAAACTCTAACTGGACCTTTGTGAACACTAGCTCAAAAGTTCTGACTACACCCTGTCTTGAGAACATCCAGAATTTGCTGACCGCGAACACTGGCTCAAAAGTTCTGAAATTGTCATATTTCTTAAATACTTAGAAAAATTTCTAAGTCTTTAGAATTTGATTCTTCCAAAGTAAAATTTGACTTTTGAAACTCTTGATGAAGCAAACTTCATATTCTAACATGTCTTGAAGAAATATGATTTTTGAGATTTGATTTTGATCCAAAAGTCAAAGTTAGACTTCTAGTATGCAAATGACCATTTTTCCCTTGTGAATGGTCTGCTTGGAAAAATTGATAACTCGAGGCCTGGAGACCTGATAAAGGCAAACTCTAGGATCCAGGGTGATTTTTTGAAAAATGAGAGGGCAGATTTTGGGGTGCAACAGCTGCCCCTGTTCAAACTTCTTGAACCTGAAGAGTTAGGCTGGCGGATCCGCCATTCATGACTCGAAGGTGAGAGATGATTGAACACTAGAGTGCCCAGAAATTTGCACTCGAAGATGGATGGTGAATGGGCTTATAGATGCCATTTGGAGGAATATTGGTAAACTCTGGAAGAAGTATTAGCACAAATCTCTTGTTGATTCATACTAAACTTGACGTTTTACCTGGGAGAAAAAGGGGTTAGTAAAAATGCAGATGCTTGCATGATGTTTACTAGATGTGGTATTATGCTAAATGCATTGGTATGTACATGTTATGATGCATGAATGTGAAATGTGTGTTTTCGCCCGGGAAAATATATCCCTGACTGCTGCTGGGGAAATCTTCGGAGGTTGAATCCCTGATTTCCTATTGGAAACGAAGGATATGCATATCTTCAATTTTTATTGAAAGGATTCTTTTGATGGGGAACTTCACTCAAATATCAGCTGTTATCTGGTCAGATCTAGGCTTCACAGTTTCTGAGGATGAAGTAGTCAGTTGCTATCTGGTCGGATCCAGGCTTCATGGCAACTTACTGGGGGAAGAGATGAATTAACTATTATCTGGTCGGATCCAGGATTTGCAGAAAATTCCTTGAAATTGAATAGTCATCTGGTCGAGTCCAGGCTTCACAACAACTTGTTGGGGATGCGGAGGTTAACTGTTATCTGGTCGGATCCAGGCTTCACAGTAACTTGTTGGAGATGTGGAAGTTAACTGTTATCTGGTCAGATCCAGGCTTCACAGTAACTTGCTGGAGGAAAGGATGAATTAACTGTTATCTGGTCGGATCCAGGCTTCACAGTAACTCCTTGAATACTGTTATCTGGTCGGGTCCAGGCTTTATGGTCTTTTGGAAAGTTGTATTATTATCTGGTCGAATCCAGGTTTCATAGTGTCTTTCTGGGGATCATGGTTAATTGTTATTTGGTCAGGTCCAGGCTTCACAATATACCATTCGAAAACTGTTATCTAGTCGGGTCCAGGCTTTGTAGATTTCTGAGGTTTGATGAGGTCAATTGTTATCTGGTCGAGTCCAGGCTTCACAATAAACTGTTTGAAAACTGTTATCTGGTCGGGTCCAGGCTTTGCAGATTTCTTTGATGAAGTTAATTGTTATCTGGTCGGATCCAGGCTTCACAATAGACTGTTTGAAAACTGTTATCTGGTCGGGTCCAGGCTTTGCATATTTCTTTGATGAAGTCAATTGTTATCTGGTCGGATCCAGGCTTCACAATAGACTGTTTGAAAACTTTTATCTGGTCGGGTCCAGGCTTTGCAGATTTCTTTGATGAAGTCAATTGTTATCTGGTCGGATCTAGGCTTCACAATAGATTGTTTGAAAACTGTTATCTGGTCGGGTCTAGGCTTTGCAGATTTCTTTAATGAAGTCAATTGTTATCTGGTCAGATCCAGGCTTCACAATAGACT